CAGAACTTGACAAATCAGCTTACCTTTGAAGGCAGTTAACATCTTGAGTGACAGAGGTTACTAGACGACAGAATGGTGAAGCAAGTGGATCGAACCTAAAATTAGATTATGCAGCGTCTTATCCTATGCAATGTGTAGATATTGATCGAGTACCTCACATCACAGCTGCTATGCCTTGGTTTACCAAAGCACTGACGATGTTCTCGTACGGCTGGGATAAGCAGCTGGCAGGCATACATCTCCACCTAAAATGAGTTTTAATTTCTTAACGTCGATATTAAACGATCAATAAAATCAATGGTCTTTTGCAAAATAATCTATCATTAGCTACTGAAAGTATACAGGTTATGCACATACGCAATTAGCCAGCCAGTTTTTCGATTACGGTAATGATACGCCTATGTGCGGTAATTGTTTGCACTTACCTCGCGCCAGGCTTGTACACCTTCATCCGGTGTACATGCTGCTGATGTACCTTGCGTGCAAATCGTGTACTCCTGCATTAGTTCGCATCCTTTTTCAACTTTTACCTGGCTAAAATAAAATTTTGAAAGGAAATTACATCTTATTTCTTTAACCAAGACTTTTATAAAGCTGTTACTGGTTTATTGATTTTGACTTACGTTTCTTTATCCGCAAGGAGACTAGAATTTTCAAAGTAGATAGCATTAACGTCATGCAAAAACAAAAGAACCGGCTCGGCACATTCATCCACTCGCAGTTGATGCTCATAAGGGCAATCTTTCGGTTCTTCAGTGGCTAAAAAAGGGAAACTTTGCTGGTTTCGATCAATAATTTTAGGAGAAAATTTTCAAAAATTTTAGTTCGATTCTGGGGATTTTCGCCGTGATCGTTCTAGCAGAATAGTGTGTATTTGCACCCTTATTGGTGTTAGGGGATGCAGTTTCTTATTTTGGTCTTTTGCGGCAAATGCATTTAAATTTACCATACTTTCGATTACGATAGAATCACGAATAAGTGCATGACCTCGAACGAGACTGAATAAATAGGATTTTCTAATTTGTTTTCTTTTTTGGCAATCAGCGGTAATGTGTGAGAAACAAATCTCTACGTACTTTGATAGCGTTCTTTACTAGAAACCGGCTGGCTATGCGGTGATGTCGTGACAATGCTGTCGAACGGATCCGCTTCTTT